GGGCAGGCATGCTGCGACGGACGCGGTGCAGGCAAGCGCCGCGAGGGCCGAGGCGTGCCGGCGTCAAGCGAGGCTCGAGCGCGAAGCCTCGGAGTCGATGGGAAGTAAGCGCGGGGAGGGCCACGAGGGCAGGAGGAGGGGGCAGGAGGTGGTCGTCTTGCGTCTGGCGGCGGGGGGGCAGGGGGGGTGGGCCTCCCCCTGCTCCTCCGGCGGCCTGCGCTGCGCTGCCGGGGCTGGCCGGCGAAGGGAGGGCAGCGGAGCGGCGGGCCGCGGCGCGCCCCCGCAGTGCACCGAGCAGGGGGGGCACGCGGGAGCGGAGCCGAGGGCTGGCAGTCGGCGCAGCGTTGCGCGAGGAACTCTCTGTGAAGTCCGCGCCTCCGGACGTCCCGGCGCCTCGGAACCATCGAGATCCCATCGTGTCCGGCCTGCCCGGCGGGGGCCCTCAGCGGGCCTCGGGACCATCAGAAAACGGCTCGGGTTGAGGAACCGGTCCCAAGGAGTGGTCGAGAGGTCGTGGGCCCGTGTCGTGGAAAAAATCGAAACGCCAAATGTCTGGGCCCGCGCCCACCCCGAGGGCACCACGCGTTCCAAGCGGCCAGGCCGCACATCGGAGGAGGAGGAGGAGGAAGAGGAGGGGGAGGAGAAGGAGGAGGAGGAGGAGGAGGGGGAGGAGGAGGAGGAGGAGGAGGAGGAGGAGGAGGAGGAGGAGGAGGAGGAGGAGGAGGAGGAGGAGAGGTGCCGCGCCATCAGTGTCGGAGAAAAGGGGCGCACGCCGGAGGGGGTTCACAAACAAACGCGTTCCACTACTCGTGAAGTAGCTGCTCGCAAATGGCCTGGATCCGCTACGTCGAGGAAACGAGCTCCACTGCATCGAACGTCGTATGTTTTTTTGACGTGTGCGAGTAGGCACTTTGCGAGCAGTGGAACGCACTCGGTGAGAAGTTTAGGGGCAAGAAGTGGGGGTCGTCGCTGTCCGAGGTCACCGTTGCTGCTGCCGCCAGGGTGGCGGACCGAGGTGTTCAGAGGAGAAGGACGCTGAACATCCTGCAGCAGATCAGTGCTGTTTGCCGCTGGTGCCCCGAGGCTTCAGACCGCCTGGGGGAAGAATGGTTCAAGGATCCCACATGACGTCCCCAAGACGGCCTCCAAGAAAGCCTCACAATGGCTTCAAAACTGACCGAGCACCCTCCCCGACGGACCGAAAGGACCCCTAGGGGGTTCCAAGACCAAAGGGAATAGGTCGAGCTGAACTGTCGAATTCAGACCGCACACTGAACTGGCACGGGTCTTGAACCCACCGTAAGAACGCCCGAAAACGGGCCAAGACTTGCCCTAGATGCCCATCAGGCCTCTGGGAAGCGACCCGAGAGGCATTCAGCGAGGCACCCACAGGAGAAACTTCGGAAAAATCATCACGCAAAGCACTGTGTTGTTGCTCCCTAGGCTTCGCGGTTCCTGATTGGCTCGGGACAACTTCGGAGAGCCCCAAGAGGCCCTAAAAACAATTGAATCTTGCCCCCGGAGCTACCGGATAGTCCAAATACTGCCCGAGAACACCAATAATACACAGCACCAAGACCGAGGAAACGGGGTCGAGTTTATCAATTCCCATGCGCGCTGACACCGCGCGCTGAACTGGCGTGGGTATTAAGGTAATCCTCCTTCGCGCTGTTGTGCTGCGTTGACACGATGGCGGGGGTTGCCGCAAGCACCTCAGGAATACCCCCCCAGTGGAAGCACAGGGCCGTCGTGGGTCCAGACGGTCCAGCCTAGCCTCAGCGATCACAGGCTCAACAAGTGATCCACTCCCACCTTCTTGCCTGCCTGCCATCCTGCGCGAGTGGGGGGACAGCGTGAAACGCATTCGCTACGCTCATGCCTGGCTACACGATCCGACCCAACTGAGTGGTGCTGGATCGCTGCAGGATCGTGCCGCCTGCCGCCAGTCTACAGCGCCACTGGGAGGACACGCAAGGGGGCGACGCCCTCCTGGCAGCGCCAGCGCTCGTCAGCCCTGGCGTCGGGGTTGCCGGCCCTTTGCCGCTGTCGCGCTGCTGCCGCGTCCAGCGCGCGCTCCTCGCCAGGGGCGCCGTGGCGTGCGCTGACATCCGCGGAGAGTCTCGGGTCGGGCGAAAGGGGGGGGATGGCAAGGGGGGGGGGTGAGAATCAGCTCACGTAGCTGATTTTCCCGGCGCCCCCCGGCGCCGGAGGCGACTGTGTATCGAGGAATGGGCCCCTCGGTGAGGCCGAAACCAGCTGCATGCAGCAAATTTCGTAACCCCCCCTTTCCCAATATCCCCCCCTTTCGTCCGGCCCGAGAGTCGAGGGCGCGCCGTCCCGCTGCGCCCCGGCGATCGAGGAGGCCCTCCTCGCGCCGAGCCGCGAGGGCAGACCCCGCTGGTGGGGCGAGGGCGAAGCTGCGCGCGCGGCGGCCGAGCGCGGCGCGGCGCCTTTGCCCCGGCCGAGCGAGCACAATCGAAACCTCCTGCTCCTCCTCCTCCTCCTCCTCCTCCTCCTCCTCCTCCTCCTCCTCCTCCTCCTCCTCCTCCTCCTCCGCCTCCCCCACATCGCGGCGCAGCGTCCATCCCTCCTTCCTTGCGAACACAAACAAAACCCCGAGCAAGGATGCACGGCAAGGATGCGTGACCCTTGGAAGACCCGTTTGCTCTTTAGGCCCCCTCTCTTGGAGCCCAACATTGGCTCAGGATGGGCCGACTAAGCAGGGATGCAGGGGTAGCCTTGATGAAGCAGCGCATCCCTACTATAGGACTTGACTGTAGCGCCTCCCCCCTCCCGCGTCGCACCACCAGACGTGCCCGTGGATCGGGCGAGGCGGTTCGATTGAGACCGCTGTACGGCGTACTGGCGCACGTTTAGACAACTCTCCACCAGGCACACGGACGCAGGGGTGGCCGTTTCCAAACTAGGGCTCTCGCTTGAACGGCGCGCACACTCGTCGTCAAACTTTGCAGCAGCTGCAAGGATGAAGGGCCAGGGGAGTTCAACATGGGGTGCTCGTCTTACCTCCGCGCACATGTGCTTCAAGAGCTTACAACATCTACGAGGATTGAGGCCGACTCCTTGTGAACACGAGGCCATCACTCAAGACGTCCTCAAAATGTGCGCCCCGATGACCGGCAGTGCTCAATATGTATACGGCTTGAGGGCGGCTCCTTTTGAGGAAGGGGCTCTCGCTTGAGACGCCCGCAGATCTCATGACCATAAACTGGAATCGTGCAATACTTGCACGGTTGAAGGGCAGATCCGCTTCAAACATTCCCTGAACCTTAACGTCATACCTCGAACTCTGGCACCGAGTGCACGTCCTTGGATACTGGCATG